GAAGATAGAGCACCTACGACTATTTCTGAATGTTATCAAGCGACGAAACCTTGAATACCTTAGCCATATAATCAGAGGACCTCGATATAAGTTTCTCCGACTGATCCTTAATGGAAAAATCGAAAGAAAGCAGTGGATTGGGCGCAAGAGATTTTCGTGGTTGAGGAACTTGCGGAAATGGACAGGTTTAAACACGGATGAATTACACGGATGAGATATTGTTAATATGGCAGTTGTCAACGTTCATTAGGAACATGACACTTGGAGAAGAAAATAAAATATAACTGCTCCGAGACTATTTCAATCGTACGTAAAAGTATTTTACACCACCAAAAAAAAGTAAAATATAACACTAGTTGCACCAAACCACTCTCCTTTTAACCCAGGACGGGCGTTTCGCTAACCATGTTAGTACCATTAGCAGATGATTAAAAGTAAACTGTGAGTTTATAGTTATAATTTAGTTTTAATCACTTACTGAAGATGTTGACATGGTTACCGAAATGCGCGTTCAGTGTTAATCGTAAAGTATATTGTGAACTAGAAAAAAACTGCACATTAAGTTGTTTAAATTTGTCGATTTTATGATGTCATTAAAAAGGACTAAAATAATATAAAAGATCATCATAAAATCTGAAAATAAAATTGACAGTATTGTCTCAAATAACTTCCATTCTACAAATCCATAATTTTACAAAATAAAATTGCTTTGCTTCATTGTTTAACAGACGCAAAATAAAATTAAATATAATATAAAAAAAATTCCCTGCGGGGAACATAAAAGAGGCAAAAATACAGACCAGCAACGCCATTTATAGAGATATATCTAATTTTTAAATATATTATAAAAAAATATGTTTTCACATTAACAAAATTTTTAAATAAACCAGTGTTTATTGTCCCAAATAAATTTCAACGGTCAAAGCCAATTTTTATTTAAAAAAAAAGGCAATAAATAATATCCTTTTTTCTCTACATTCACGTATAAAAATCTCTAAAAATAGAATAAAATAATTTATACTGGGCTTAAAATTATATATAATCCATTTTTATTCCAGTATATCCTCTAAAAATATGTTTTGTCAAATAGTACAGATATGGAATACATTTCTAATAAAATGTATCCATTTTTTTTTAATATATACATTATTAACTGTTGTGTAAAAATAGACTGAATTGCTCCCAGGCTAAGGAGACACAGAGCCATCTTCTCTGAACTCACTTAGTCAAATCTCAGTAGACGCGTCCAAGTCGCGGGAGTGGGCCCGACTCAAACGAGTCGGTGGCTGAGTTCTACTGGGGACCCAGTGTTGTGGGGTATAATGCAACCCCCTGCCCAGGGATACGGGCAAGGATATATAGAAGAAGGATATTCAACTCCCTATAGCGGGCTCTGTTGGAAAATATGCCGTATTTTGTCGAGGAAGACGATTTCGTCACGACCAATGAGCGTCGAGTATTTGAAATTGAAAACATATAAATTGACGGTAACCTATGTTTTTTTGACTCATTTCACTGACAGATGTGATGAGATTGTTATTGTAATTTATAGATCCAAAATCCAAACGTTTTTTGAAAAAATAATGTATTTTAAAGTTATTTCCTAGAGTTTGGTTTGGCCTTCTATATTCTGGTATTTGTCTACTAATAAATAATATCTTATTTTGTATTTCGATGTATGGAAATCCGCAAGTTTTGTATCTGAAGCCGCAAAGAAATTTCGTTCTATAGTGAGAAAAATGTTATTATATCTTTATAGACGTGTAGAATTACAAAATTTCTTATTTCAGATGTTCTAAATGTGAGTGCATGTCAAAAATTTAAATATATACTTGAAATATTATTTCAAGTTATATGCTTTGACATTTTTTGGAAGTAAACAAATATTGAAGAAAGTGTTGTGCCTTCACAGAATTTAAATTGGCATTAGGAATAGATTTCCTTGATTTAGTAATGATATTGCTCATAGAAATTGATAATGTGAAGAATAACAATACAGGAACATAGAATAACAAGAAAGAAATTCTAGCAGCAAGTTAGGTTATGAGATAAATTTTATTTATATAGTTTGTTTAAAGATGGTTTAAAGAGTTTAGTTTGAAAAAAAGGTAAAACAATTATTATTGTCCAGGTCATATTTGATAACTGTTGTTAATTGATAACATATTACAGGGACACAGTAAAAAGACAAAACATTTAGACCCTTTGAAAGAGAAATGTTTGCAATGGATATTAATAAATTCTAGCCAATTTGTACGATGTACAATGCAGGCAATATTTCTGCCTCCTAACGCACTATTCGCGTAAAAGAAGATGTGGGTATTGTATTTATAGGTAGATAATGATACACGGAATATATTTCTATATTATTGCAATAACGATGTCTTTATGTTGTATTTTTTTTAGAACAGATTTATTATTAGTTGGCTAGTGTGTTAGTAGGATAGCCATTGGTAGTTATAAAGTATGAAGTCGTCAGGTATTAATAATAGGAATTGATCAAAGCTTATACATTTATTGTGATATTTATATTGTGAATTTAAATAGTTAGTTTTGGTTGTTTAATAAACGAATTAATGTGCTTATTGTGTATCTAATTAAAAGAACAATGAAAAGTTGAATACCATAGGGTTATTACCACGTATGTTATACAAAGAATTTGCATCAACATTTTTTTGGTTATATACTTGTACTGATACTTGTTTCTTGAACTAAAGAATTATACAGTACCTACTACACAATATATAATCTGCAGCTACATAGGTAGGTAGCTATTGGTAATTAAATTTTTTATCTAATATAATATCTAACATCAGAAATATTGTTAATTATCAACTATAAACAACTAAGAACTAGAATTATCAACTATAAACACAATATAATATACTGTATCTTAAGCAATATGTAATTATTTAACAATTAATTTTTTTGGGAAATAAAAACTGGTACTAAATTCTTTTTGACTATTTAATTTCTAAGTCACAAATAATGGTGGACAAATAGCAAAAAATTATACAAGTAAAACATAATTTTAACTTATTTCTCTAACGGGATTTTGGTATTGATCTACTTAGTAGGATATGCAGTTATCAATCATATTTTTGAATATTTATATTCAATATTGTTCAGGAACAGCCCAATTACTCTGAAAAAAAAATATATGGTCAAATTCTTTGAAAAGAAACTTTTAAAATCAGTAATGATAAAAAAATATATAATTGTTGTATAACCAAACCAAACCAAACCAGGGGACACAGAATTAGGGGAATTAACAATAGATTATTAAAAACTGCCTTCTCTTAAAAAAGTAGTATTATATGCACTTACAAAGACTATAAAGGATATAAGTACGCATAGAAACAAAGTAAGTATCTATACTACTGATATATATAACTATATATGAATACGATACCTACAGTATACAATATTACTAGTATAAAAATAACAGCACAGTCGGCACACTTTAAAATAGAAAAGCAGCATAATATTCAGGTATGTATATAAGTAAAATTTTCTCAAAAATATTAGAATATGAAATAAATTGCAACTAAATTTTAATTAATAAACATAAACAAATAAAATTGTCAGTGTTATTAAAACTTTATGCAAATATATGTTACCTTAATACTTTGTCTTTAATTCTACTCTTCTGACATGGCTTTTCAAACTTATCCCCAAATCTCAATTCTTGTTATTAAGAATAATATTTATGAACTTTTGTTTCCATATTAATTTCAATATATTTGAATAAAACTGGAAAAATAATCAATATTGACACTTGAAATTTTAATTTCTTATGTCCTTAAATTATTTATATCGTGTTATACATAATACTTACATAAATATTCAATTTAAAAATAGATCAGCACTTGAACGAGTGAATATAAGATAGTATATTATCAATTTCTATGAGCAATATCATTACTAAATCAAGGAAATCTATTCCTAATGCCAATTTAAATTCTGTGAAGGCACAACACTTTCTTCAATATTTGTTTACTTCCAAAGGGCAAAGGGTATAACTTGAAATATTTCAACCAATATTTCAAGTATATATTTAATTTTGACATTAAGCACTCACATTTAGAACATCTGAAATAAGAAATTTTGTTATTCTACGCGTCTAAAGATATAACATTTTTCTCACTATAGAGCGAAATTTCTTTGCGGCTTCAGATACAAAACTTGAATTCCATACATCGAAATACAAAATAAGATATTATTTATTAGTAGACAAATACCAGAATATAGAAGGCCAAACCAAACCTCTAGGAAATAACTTTAAAATAAATTATTTATTCAAAAAACGTTTGGATTTTGGATCTATAAATTACAATAACAATCTCATCACATTTGTTAGTGAAATGAGTCAAAAAACATAGGTTACCGTCAATTTATATGTTTTCAATTACAAATACTCGACGCCCATTGGTCGTGACGAAATCGACTTCCTCGACAAAATACGGCACGTTTTTTTTGGGCCAGTCGAATATCCTTATTCTATATATCCTTGAATACGGGTGAAGACCATATCGGCGGAAAAGGAGTAGAAAATAGTTTTCGGGGCGTATGTAGCAACCCTGCCTTCAGGGATTGTATGAAGGCACCTGGTGAAGGGAAGCAGCGATCACCAGTACCAGCTCAAAGCGTAAGGAAAATGATTCCCGCCCGGTTTGAGTCTGGAATTTCACAAGCACGACTGCATCAGTTTTAATGGTTGTGATACTGCGATGAGGAAGGCCACGGGAAACCACCTCATTATATATTCCCAAGTAAATCACAATAGCTATACACTAAAGGAAAACGGCCCCTAGTCTCCGGCATGTCTTAAATGACCAAGGGGTGCTAAGAATCCCCGGAAGGAAAAACTTTTGTAAAGTAGACTTAAGGTTAGCGACGTGGAATGTAAGAACACTTTTTGCAGCTGGAAAACTTGCAAATGCGTGCAAAGAAATGAAGCGACTTAACATTAGCATCCTTGGAATATGTGAAACCCGAATATGTGGACGGGTTCGGGACGAATTCATTCAATGGACAAGATTTTTTATTATTCTGGAAATAACACTGGTACTCACTCAAATGGAGTAGGAATACTGGTAGATGAGAGCTTAAGCAACTCTGTATGCAATTTTGTGCCAGTATCAGATAGATGTATGATGATACAAATAGAAGGAACCCCGCTAAACGTGAATATTATCCAGACTTATGCTCCCACTTCAGAAAGTTCAGAAGAGGAATTGGAAAGATGGTACGATGAATTGGAACAAGTATACAAGTTAACTAAACAACATGACATTAATATAATTATGGGCGACATGAACGCAAAGGTTGGCGAAGGACCAATAAATAACATTGTTGGAAAATACGGGCTAGGAGTGAGAAACGAGCGTGGAGAAAGATTGATAGAATTTTGTCAAGACCACAACATGACAATTACAAACACTCTATTTAAGTTGCCTAAAAGAAGATTATATACCTGGAGATCCCCTCAAGACAATGGCATCAGAATAGTTCGGAACCAGATAGATTTCATTTTAATAAACCAGCGATTTAGATCATCTGTTAAAAGCGCAAAGACGTTTCCAGGCGCAGATATTAATTCCGATCATAATCCTGTTGTTGCAAATATAAAACTAAAATTAAAATTTACTGGAAAAAACATTCGTATAAAAAATAGACATCAAGATGTTGAAAAACGAAGACGTAAAATAAAACAGAGTAGCCCAGAAGTTAATGATGCTTTGCAGGAAGTGAGAAACAGTGAAGAAGATATAAACACTACCTGGAACGCATTAAAAACACCCTTAGTTAAAGCCACACAAACACATTTAACTGGCCTAAAAACAAAGAAGAAACAAAGGATGACGGACGAAATTCTCCAACTTATGGACCAGCGCAGAGAACACAAAAGTCGAGATACTATAGCGTATAAACGTTGCAATAAGGAAATTAATAAAGCAATAATCACAGCTAAAGAAAAGTGGATTTCAGAGAAGTGCGTGGAATTAGAGGACTTACAAAAGAAACACGACTCATTTACATTACACAAAAAAATAAAAGAATTAACTGGACCAGCACAACGTTTTTGTCCTCTAACAATTATTAACTCAGATGGTACACTGTGTTCAAACGTACAAGAAAAAATATAAGTATGGGAACAACACATGAAAGAACTTTATAATGACTATAGAGAAGAACCAACAGTAAGACCAACGGTTGATCAAGGACCAGAAATTCTCAATAGTGAAGTATTGCAGGCAATTAAACAACTTAAAAATAACAAAAGTCCAGGCCCTGACAATATATATCCAGAAATACTTAAATTAATATCAGAAGAGAACGTAGATATACTGACTAGGCTTTTTAACAAGATCTATGATAGAGGAAAAGTACCTGATGACCGGCTCCACTCAACTTTTGTACCGCTTCCGAAAAAACCATCAGCTCGACATCTCAGTGACTACAGACTTATTAGTTTAATGAGTCACGCACTGAAAGTGTTACTTAAAATAATACATAACGGAATTTATAAGAAGGGTGAGCAAGAAAACGGCATGAACAGTTTGGGTTTAAGAGTGGATTGGAAACACGAGAGGCCTTATTCTGTTTACAATTGATGGCGCAGAAAGTGTACAGACCAACAAAAATCAATGTATGTGTGTTTCGTAGATTTCGAAAAAGCATTCGATAGAGTCAAACATACGAGACTTATCGAAATGTTGTATGAGTTGGGAGTTGAAAGCAAAGATGTAACACTTCTGAAAAAAATATATATTGGCAACAAACAGCCCACATGAAAATCGAAAATGACAATTCCAATCCAGTCAATATACAGAGATGAGTAAGACAGGGATGTGTGCTGTCTCCTTCGTTATTTAATGTTTATTCTGAGGCGATTTTTCGGGAAGCTTTCCCTTCAACAGATTGCGGTATTAAAGTCAACGGCGAAGTCATTAACAACATTAGATTTGCCGATGACACAGTTCTTATTGACGATTCTGATACTGGTCTCCAGAGTTTAATGGAACGACTTGAAGGCTCCTGTAAGAAATACGGGATGAAGATCAATTCTCTTAAAACTAAAGTCATGATATTTGGAAAGAACCAAAATGTACCAATTCCTATTAAAATAGAGGGCAGTACCTTAGAACAGGTCTACAAGTTCAAATATTTGGGGTCCTGGATAGTTAACACCTTGAACAACGACGTGGAAATAAAAACCAGAATAGAACAAGCGAGAAATGCATTTTTTAAAATGAAGAACGTCTTCCAGAACCCCAGATTGGACCTAGAGTTGAGAACTAGGCTCGTTAAGTGTTATGTTTGGTCAATCCTATTATACGGAGCAGAAACATGGACACTGAAAGTTCAAGAGATGAATCGCCTCGAATCGTTCGAAACATGGATATATCGAAAAATGTTTAAAATTCCATGGACAGCCCATATCACAAATACCGAAGTCTACAACAGAATAGGCAGAGAGAGAGAATTGCTCAATATAATTAAAATTAGAAAAACATCATACTTAGGGCATATATTGAGAAATGAAAAATACCACGTATTACAATTGATAGTTAAGGGTAAGATTGAAGGAAAGAGAGGTCTCGGCAGGAAGAAACTATCTTGGTTGAGAAACATCAGAAACTGGACTCACCTAACTTTTGACGAACTTTTGAGGAAAGCCGAGAATCGTGAAGATTTTGCCAATGTGATCGCCAACCTCCACGAAAGAGACGGCACGTAAAGAAGAAGAAAAATAGACATCTTATCACAAGGGCCATAATAAAAGAAAATATACCAAAAATATAATATTCTTGATATTTTGGAAGTATCAAATTCTTTTAAAACAAAATGTAAAAATTTAAATACATTCTACTTCCTAGGTACATTCTTTATAGAAATAAAATAAATGAAACTCCGCTGTACAACGAAAAAGGAAGCCCGACTCGAATGTATTGTCTTTGACGAAAGTTAAATTAAACGCGCAACTATAAATTTTAATACTCGACGAAAAATATTCAATAGCTTTTGTGCGAAGTTGGAAACAAACAATGGACCGGGCTGAGTTTGCTGTTGGGAGTTAAGTTGTTTATTATCAGAGAGTTTTTCGCACGAAGAAAAAGAAATGTTATTTTATAGCGCTTTTCCATTTAAAAAAGGAAAGTTTTTGTTAAAAAAATGTTTCTCGATGACTATATTTATCCGGAAAGCCATTTTTTACAGTTTCGTAAAATGAACGTCAGAGTACGTTTTCGGTGAAATTGATCAGTATATTCATCCTCTTTCAGTAAAAATTAAAGCTAGTTCTACTTTTGTTCATATTAATTGAACAATGGATACAAAACTGAAGTGTGAAAACGTATATTCATCAGTTTCTTAAGATTGGAGGAAATATTGACACAATTGGCTTCCAAAACTAATATAATCATTATAGTTATACTACCATCCCATTTATTGCTGAGTAATAGTCACTGTCAGACCACATTTTCGTAATCAGGACATTTCCTAACTCATATGTCACAGAGCCTAGCAGTGACATATTATTTGCTCTGCTATTTTCGGATCTTTATCGCAGAGTCTGCGGGAAAGACGTCTTTGACACAAATTACCTATAACAGATGCGAAAGAAAGCGACTGCATCGGAAACCGCTCGGCAAACCCGACACGCCTATTGAGTGGTGTAAATACACCAGTCGTTTAGTCCGGAAACCTATGCTGTGTCGTATTCACTTGCTGGAATGACATAGTGCGTAGTTATATGTTTCTTTTTAAAAACGCGTGTAGGATTTTTGTTGAACGTTTGAACTGTTATTTCTAAGTTTTGGTAATATGTATATCTTATTTAAAATGGGATGCAAATGTGTTTATTTATAAAGAAAAAAAAGATATTTATAGTATAAAAAATTAATTTATTTAACAAAATTTAATTAAAAATGTGACAAAATAGTTACCTTTCTATTGGTTCTATCGGACTTTTTTCGACTATATAAATCTTTATTTGTAAACTTTAATACATCAAATATTTTCAATCTAATAAATCGTTTAATGATCAGAGGAAATTTCTCATTTGGGTGGTCAAATTTTATAGTTTTCATTATATCAAACAGCTTCTGAGAAATGTTCTCAACTCAAAATGCCTTTAATTATGTTTGACTACATCATTAAAAAGGGTCTTCAAATACATCAATGTGATATTTGTCTAAAATTTGCAAAAGAATCCGAATCTCTGGATAACTCGAAATTATTTACCCATTTAAAAGCCTTTGATCATGAAAGTGGAAAAATTTGTTCATTTTATTTACAGGCTGGAAAAATTATTTATATTAAATTTTGATGAGTTTTGCACTGAAGAAAACATTCAGAGGCTGTTTGATATAGTGAAAACTATAGAATTTGACCACCCATGTGAGAAATTTCCTCTTATTTACATCATTAAATTATTTATTAGATTGAAAATATTTTATGCATTAAAGTTTACAAAAAATAAAGATTTATATAGTCGAAAAAAGTCCGATAGAACCAATAGAAATGTAACTATTTTGTCACATCTTTAATTAAATTTTGTTAAATAAATTAATTTTTTATACTATAAATATCTTTTTTTTTCCTAATCTCCTACGAGCTGATATAATATGACGAGCAATCTATTAAATTACTGTGAGATTATACAGAAAAGTCCACAGACTTCGAGACATAGGAAAATCAAGTCCATTTAGCGTGTGTCCAAATTTTGACAAGTTTTCAAAAATGACAGTTTTGTTTAGACTGACGTTTAATTTCACCTGACTTCTCGGTGAATGATTTCTTTTTATGGGGGTACATAAAATCTAAAATTTACGGCCATGAAGAAATTCAAAACTTGGAGCAGTTAAGGCAGAAAATATTTAATGCCTTTGACACTGTCACCCCTGATATGTTATCCAATGTGAGGAGGGGATTTTATGATCGTTTGGGTTATTGTTTAATGCAAGAGGGAGGCACTTTTGAACAATTTTTGTAATTTTTTAAATTTCATTATCCTGTTTTTTTACCGTTTACCCATTACCTACCTTGACGAACATGGGAAAACGAAGGTCCTTTTCAGGACCACAAATATTTTGATTGAGAAAATTGGTAACTTTTTTTTGGATTAAAAAACAAAAGTTGTTAATATAATACCAATTTAAAAGTGTTTTAGTAGTTTTAATACACACTATGATATAAAATTTATTATTATTATAATGTACATTATTAATACTATTGTTCATTCGAAATGGCATTAAGGCCCAATTGCAACAATGATTTAAATTTTTCTTAAAGATAAGTAGAGCTTAGAATGAGCTGTATTTATATTTACTTTAATATTCACCTTAAATGAGGGAATTTGACTGATACAATTTTTGAATTTGAATTGTTTTTAATGATACTAACAATTTTAGATCAATTTTTAATAAAATTTATTTAATATTAATAGAAATCCAAGAGATTTGAAACCTCTTTTACCGATTTATAACATTCTCAAATGAATTACAGGTGCCCTTATTTTCTATGAAAATCACACAGCTTTTTTCATAGTCGCTGCAGTTGCTATAGCTATAAAAAACTAATTTTTTAAGGTGTAAAAATTGCGACACACGCTAAATGGACTTGATTTTTCATATGTCTCGATGTCTGTGGACCTTTTTGTATGCCTCGATAACATATTGGTGCAGATTATTTTCACCCAAACAAATAATAACCCAAACTATACATTGATGCGGACTGTCTATGAACTCTTTCTGAAGGTCACAGAAACCTGAACGCGTAATTCGGTGTTCTTTCGCATCTGTTGTAGTTAATTTGTGTCTTTGATACAGGTTGAGCTTGTTCGGTTAACACTTGACAGCCCTATTTCCTGTCATAAGACCTGTTTTGCCGTGTTAAAGGAAAGAGTTTTAACTAAAATTAAGATTCAAGTATGTAATTAAGAAGATAAAGGTATTTTCCAACCTAAATGAGAATCAAAAACATCCCCTGTTTTATTTTCGGAATTATAATGAAATATAGTTTTACATTGCGTGTATATCTGACAGTTATTACTGACAGAAGTTATATAAAAGTGCTCCATTTGTAAATATTAACAAACAACAACTTAACTGGTTTAACAAGTCATATAAGGGTTTTTTCGTTA